CCCCAGAATCTAGCATGATACCTCTTATGTGTGAATATGTATTAAGTAAATGACTGACTGGATTCTGGATGGATGTGGATAGATGAATGATGGATAGATATATAAAAGCTATAAAATAATGTATGAAAAGCATCTGGATCATCTTAGAGGCTGTCTATCACTGTATCTTTAATGTAAATGGTAAAAAGAAAAAATATGGAAAGCACGCTGCAAAGAAACCCCTCCCAAAGAAGGAGGTTTGATAAATCATTAGATCCGACTCATTTTTATCTAACAGTATCTCTGCTTGATCATTAAGATGGTTGTGCTTACTTATATTTCAGATTAAGTTTCAGGTAGTGGAACAGGGATTTCTAAAATGTTTACCTAACATGAGAACAAGAAAATCATAGAATAGCAGGTGCTCCTCGTTGCTAGGAGAGGAAAACCCCTCTTGAGATTAGACATTTTGAAGGTGATGCTAATAATGATGTTTATTTTTAACTGTAGTATTAGTGAAAATAATCGGGTAGATAAATGTTGAGACCAGAGGCTGTCACACTTGTATTTTTCGGAAAGAACATTAAGAAGTGTTAGTTTGTGATGAAGGGATTTCAGTCCTGACATGTAATCCCTCTGGCCCCTCTGTGGCTCCTACTAAGAGTTTGCTGTCGTCCCCTTAAATCCTGTGACTCTGCACAGGATCTAATACATCTGTGACATACCTTTATTACCACAACACTTATGTGTTCGGATTATCTGCGACCATGTCTGTTTCTCCCACTAGAACATATGCTTTTTCAGTGCAGAGTCCTTGCCTTAGTATTATTTACATCCCCAAGTCCTAGCACATCCCCAGTCCGGGGCATGGAAGGCACTGAAGCGATATTTGTATTGTTCAATAGTCCATTTCTCCCCCTTTAAAAAAAATTTCAGATTAAGATTTTTAGCACTCATGTTCAAATAGGGCACTATTTTTTAGTATATTTAGGTAAGATTCAGTAATTTAAAAAAATTCAAAGATGTCAAAAATCCAGTTCTTTACAACTTCACTTGAGAGTTTTATAATAGGGTTCCACACGAAACTACGAAGTATATCAAATGTACTGTGGCCTTCGACCTCTTCAAGGAGTCAACTGGTGATTGTGGCTATATAAAAAGGTGAATTTCTCTAAGAGTGGATGTTGAGTCCAGTTGCAGTATGCTGATCAGGAATTTTCTCAAAACTGCAATGAATGTGATTTTTTTTCCAAGATGAAAAGGAGGCATTCGTAGGAGTTCAAGAATCAGTTGTAATGAACCAAGAGACAGTTTTCTATTTCTGCTGAAATGTTAGTTTATTCCTTGTTAAGTTCCTGACTTTCCCTGTCGGTGAGCTCAGATTTCACTCTCCATCTGCCACCGGATGCTACCTTTCAACTTGGAAGGCAGGTCTCTTTTTAGAAGTGGCATTGCATGGTGGCTTTTACCCCACTCTCTCCTTCTCTGAGGCATATGGTTCCTCCTTTACCCCACCTTCTTTGTCATTGAACCCTTATCTTATCTCCCCTCTCCTTTCCTAATCTCATTTTCTCTTCAAACACCTGACTCATTTGCCTGGAGTCTTTCCTTTTTCCTTCCCTCCAGGTCCATAAGCACCACCTGTTCTGCTTCACAGTGCACTTTTGTTTCCTTACTCACTCCACCAAGTCCTCTTACTTGTCACTCCTCTCCTACCCTCAGCTGACCATCGTTTTTCAGAACCTGTAGTGACATGAGCATGTCTGGGGGGGGGGGGCGTGTTGGAGGAGGGAAAGCAGAGAAAATAATCCTATTTTTTCCAATTTCATATTTTTCTTTCAATAATTTGAGCACCAGCTGTTAAGAAAGATGCTTCTGCCACCTCTCAAGTTCCCAGACTTTACTCCACCTCTGCATTTTTAAATTCAGGGAACAGGAGCTAGAGACAGTGGAGAGGGTATTAGAGCACCTAGGAAATAAATTGGAATGAGAGAAGGAGTCTACTCCGTATTGCCCTTGGAGAAGAGTGACCAGCAAGAGAAACAAGAGGATCACCCAGACAGGACCTAGTGCAACTCAGGGAGGCAAAGTCATCACATTTCAGTTAACAACCTAGAACCAATGAACTTACAAAAACCCTTTGACCAAGAAAATCCCATGGGCCCTGGTTATACACATTAGTGCCTGGGAATACACATGATAAACAAGGAGTCATTTTCCATCTCATTACTTTAATTATTTTGTCAAAATAACCTGAACATGTACACATAAATTATTGACTGGTTATAAGAAACGTGTAGCATAAAAGTCCCTGAGACACATCCAAGAATGACCTGAAATGTATTCAATGCAATTTATTCACCATACTAATTACCGAGGACTTGGCTCCCTCCCCTGATATCTAAGGCATGTGACCCTAAAATCAGAGTCTCCCTCTCTGGTGCCTGGTTTCCTGCCGGTTGACTGCTGCTGTGTAGTAAGTCACTTCCAGACTGTAAGGAAGGCACTTTGGAAGGCGAATTAGTTCTTAAAGCCCCGGTGTGCCAGTTAGTAGAAAGATGGCAAGTGGAACTAGAGGTCCCAAGAGCAGATCTTGTATAACGCCCTCAGTTTGTAGTTTGAGTGACAGAGGCTCAAAGCAGTTGTGACTTGCAGAAGCGCTGCTGATTCTGCCACTACGACTATAACCTTAGGCAAGTGCTATAATGGGTCTGGACCTCGGCTCCTTCTTCTGTACAATGGCCTGGTGATAACACCGCTAACATCTTCCAGGTGCTTCCTACACGACAGACACTGTACTGAGTACTTTAAGTGCCTTATCTAAGTCTCCTAATACCTCTATAAATTGTATGTGATTATGTTCAATTAGACAGGAGAATATCAAAACACAGGAAGCTTAATTTGCCCCATATAAGACAATTAGGAAACCTTGCAGAGCTGGTCCAGGAACCCGGGAATACCTGCCTCTAAAAATGTTTAAGCTACATTTCTTAAATCCTTTTTAAGAAACCCCCATCAGGTAGGCTCTCAAATCCCTTCTATCTCTAAAAGTCTAGAAGAGAGTTGACAAACTATGACTGCGGCCAAATCCAGCCCCCCCCCCCATTTGTTTATGTATTGCCAGTGGCTGCTTGGGCACTACAACGGCAAGGTGAGCAGTGACTTCAAAAACTGCATGGCCTGCAAAGCCTGAAATATTCACTCTCTGGCCCTTTACAGAAAAAGTATGCCAACCCCTCCTCTAGAGCCTTGAAAATGTGGAGCACCCTGTAACTGTATAGCTCCTTACAATGTACAAAGCACCCTGGAGTGCATCATCACATTTAATCTTTGTTTCTTAGGGGCATTCATGCATTATAAAGGCAGAAGCTAAAACTCAGAGTTTAATTAGGCCCTGCCTAATCAGGGCCACAGGGGCAGAAAGTGGAAGAACTGCATACTGAGGTTCTGACTCCAAACTGCAAGCTCTTTCCATGAAGCCACCCCATCTCCTCTAACGTACTGCCAGGGGAGGGCTTGGAAACTGGGAAGGACCTGCGAATACTGAAAGCAGGTCAAGACTGTCTTCCTGACGCAAACAGCATTCCAGGTGCACTCGTAATTAGAGTCATCAAGTGCTAAAAATATTAAATTTGTAATAAGTTGTAAAGAAAAGTTTATAGGTTGAAGGAAGGACATGACAATCATAGGAAAGACATTCTGAAATCTATATGATGCATTTATATGCATTTTATATTAATGCTTGTGAAATTTTAACCTCAATTTAGAATATGAAAAATGAAATAACATACAATGAACAATTGCCACATTTCTCCTGCTCTTTGATGAGATTAGCCTTAAAAAAGTTTGTTCCATACCCCCAATTTTCAAATAAAAATGCAATTATACCTTCCTTATGCTAAGTATTCAATAAATATGTGGTTAGTTTTACAGACAATACTAAGAGGATTAGTAAAATAATAGTTACTTATTTAACTAAGTAACTTAACCAAACCAAAACAAATTTTTTTTTCAAACAAAGCATAGGTGCTTCTACAGTCTGCAAATTCAAGTTCAATCTAAATGACAATGAGGACTTTTGAAACAATAGGCTTAGCTTTAGGGATTTATTTGGGATACAAGATAGGAGGTCCCCTAAAACCACTGCAGAGAAAGAAGGGGAAAAACTCTTTCTTACCAATTGAGTGACCACCCTTACCTATTTATTTCCTGAAATGCTCACCATGAGCTGTGAAGTATTTTCCTCCCCCATTTTACAGATAAGGGTGCCTAGGCTCAGAGTTATTACTAATTTGCCCAAGGTCACACTGCAGGAATTCAAATCTAAACCAGATTAGCCCCAACACCCAAACTCTCTCCCACTGCCCCAGTAGATTCCCAGTAACACCAAGATCATTGGCCAATACCTCATAAATACTCATTTTAAGAATAGATTTTTCCTTTTTCTTTATTGGATGGCTGATACTTTGTAACTATAATTTGCCTATGCTATATTTTAATATGGAAATTTTACCCATGGATTTTAATTTCTCCTTTTAAGGATAAAGAGAATTGAAGCGCTTTTTAGATTTTAGTGAGCTTTTTAAGTGAGTCTACAACAAATGCAGAGATAAAACTTTATGATTCAGCTAACTGTAGTAGTCAGATGCAAACTTACTATTTACAACAGAACCCTGTGGAAACCTAATTAATCTTGGACCTTACAGACAATAATTAGTCACTGAGGGTCCTTATTATAATAAATCAAGGAGAAATGTAAACCACTATTTCAGGCTGTAAATCAACTGGCTTTTTAATTATTCATTTACGGCCTGTGTCACTAAGAATGTTGCTTTAAACAAATAGGTTCTGCCAGTTGATTTATCAAAGTTCACTGATTACTCATTGGCAGTGGCAGATTGTAAGCCTTAAAGAAAAGGACCTTGCCTTCCATGGTTTTGTCTTTCCTACGGCACCCCAAGCCCAGGGTTTGGCACAGAGTAGGCAAACGTAACACCTTCTAAATATGCTGCTCAGACAACTTTTAAAGTCAATGCATATATTTTCAAAGTTGGTCCCATGGCACAGTCTCAAGGGCATTAGAAACACGAGGATATATGTACCACTATGCAGACTAGGAGGGAAACCTGCTGGCCCAAGGAGAACTGCAGATTTAGCCTTTAACAAAAGACAAAGTTCATCACAGACACCGATTTAGTTCCATTCCCTAGCAACTAAACATTTAACAAAAAACTGACAGATAGAAACAAACACTGCCATTAACAGACACCATGAAACATTTTTCCTTTTGCGTGATTCCATATGCAGTACAGTCTCTTCCATTGTTCTGCAGACAGGTAATGCCAGCACCCCTGGAGGAATGATATTCCAGTTTAAATTTCAGTTTCCATAAAGACGCAAAATAAGGAACTGCGGAAAGTCGCACTGTGGCTTCCTTCCCTTCTGTCTGTAAACAGTCTGGTTTTCTGGGAAGCAGTGAGAAGAAAGCGGCTTCCGCTTTATTTTCACATCTGTAATTTTAATATGCTTTTAAAAAAAACACGCAGGTTATAGAAAAACAAAGACATAGAAGAAATTAGTTAGGGGATGATCATTCACATTGTAAAGGGATTCTCCATAAGGTTTTATTAAATACCAAACTCCTCCTAGGGCAGTGAATTTGGGATGTGATTGAAACTCAGGTTTTCTGGGCCCTGGCCGGTGATTCAGTTTGTCGTAGAGTCGTCTGTACACCAAAAGGTTGCAGGTTCATTTCCCGGTCAGGGCACACACCTGGGTTGCGGGTTCGGTCCCTGGTCGGGCCCCTACGTGAGGCAACCAGTGGATATTTCTCTTCCTCTCTCTAAAATGAATTTAAAAACATATTCTCATGTGAGGATTAAAAAAAAATAAAAGAAAAGCAGCTCCTCAGGAATACATCTGTGAAAAGAGAGGTACACTTCTATATTCACCTTAACTCTTCTCCAAGGACAATCCAGCATCTTGTTTCCATTCATGGGCAGGGAACAAACAGTACTTGTTCAGAAACAGTCAACAGATTCTTGGACGACCCTCCACACCTTTCTTAGGAGCTGAGGTTTTGAGGAATTCAACCAACAAAGAGAAAGACCTCCTTGTGGCCACAGTCCTTCCACTACCCGGCAACAAGGATCTTTCTAAAACCAGGGGTTTGCTGCACATTGGTCCAGGGGAATGTGAAATGGAAAGCCGTGTGTATAGGACATTTGGACTCACGGCTGGCCACAAATATGACCTGTGGCAGATGAAGAAATTCCCAGCAACTGCCTCAATGGCTTCTTGTAGTTAAGCTGTTTCTTCACCTCTGCACTGATTAGTTGCAAGGTGAGGAAGGGCCCCCCTTCACTCCGGAACACCGATGCCCATCAACAGGCAAGAAAGCCCAACTCCTACTTGCAAAACCCATAAAGAACCAAACCAGGATCCTACCCACCCAGCCTTTGTGCCGAAGAACACTGGCAGATCGCCTTCTCCCGGCAAGCAAAACCTTAGTCGCATGAGTCTGCATTCAAGGAGATGCCCAGCACAGCATCGAAAGGCTGATGGCTTGGCCTCCCTGGGTCATACCCGGGCGAGGGTGGCTTCAGCGCTCAAACCAGCGAGCCAAGTTGCGTATGCTTTGGGGCCGGTCCCCTGCCCTCTGCACCGCCTGGCAGGCCCGGCACCAAGGCTCGTCCCAGAAGGAGGTGACGTGCACAGCATAGCTCCGGCGCCAGCTGAAGTACCGGCGGTAGACGGCGGGATGTCTGTCGAGGAAGAGCAGGTAGGCGGCCAGGGAGGAGGCACTGGGGAAGTCGTCCACGTGGATGAAGGCACCGCGGGGCACGAAGCGCTCGTAATTGGCACGGTTGGGGCCCAGCACCACCGGCACGGTCCCGGCCAACAACGAGTTGCGCCAGAGCTTCTCGGTGATGTAGTCCAGGTGCTGCGAGTTCTCAAAGGCCAGGTAGAACTTGTAGCGGGCCACCGTGTGCAGAAGCCCGACGGCGGGCACCGGCCGCCGGCTCCCGCCCCTGCCGAACACGTCCACGGGCACGTGCTGGCTCAGCTGGTGGTAGTAGCGGACCCGGGCCTGGCGCTCGTCCCAGTTGCTGACCACCCAGGCCACCAGCCCCCGTTTCCGAGACAGCGGGGCACCCAGGCCCGGCGGCTGGTCGCTGGGGTGCGTCCTGGGGTAGAGGTAACCATAAGGCACGAAGACGTTGGAGTCGGCCCGGTAGGAGAGCGTCCAGTTGAAGAGGTTACCTGCCAGGCCGCGCAGCCCCGGAGAGTGAGAGGGCGACTCGAAGTTCATCCACACCCAGCGCTGGCCCGGGGGCCTGTGGCCCGAGGCGCCCGGGGCTTCCCGCTGGGCCTGCAGGGCGCGCAGCTCCAGCTCCTCC